TCTTTGTGTAAAGGTTCTCAGAATAAGGAGAAAACGGTCGCTGTGCACACAGTTTAGGGAGGGGACACTGCTAAAAAATGAGCACCAATTTGCATGGCTCTCAGGGTTAAAGGCAACAATTACTCAATCTGATAAATATCAGTATCAGTCAACTCTGGAAACTGTAGTACTCAGTACTCACTAGTATTGATTACAACACACCACAGGAGCTGCACACAAAAAAAATCCACATTTTGACCTCAAAGGACATGATTGCATTTTTTGTTTTGTTTTTAAATAATAAAAAAAACTCTGGATGCATACATATAAAACAGAAATTGTTCGTTTTTATTTAAGGCAGCACAAACAAACCATACATTATAAAAATATGCCACTAAAATATATATATGTGTGTGTGTGTGTATATATATATAATGTTTGTTAACACTGGACTAGCATCTGAGAAACATTAAAACAACAATTTACAACAAAGTATACTGAAAATTAAAATAGATGTAAAAACATACACGCACACACACACACACATGCACAAAAAGAAAATCGGCTTGTGTTGCATGTGTGATCCAACACACTGCAAGTCCTGGGACCACAAAAATAAAATTAGACATAAAGGGCACATCACTGTGCTTCATTTTAGCCAAGACGGCACATTCAAAGACTAAAATCATGGCAACACGCACTGTTTCTTGCAAAAACACCATTAACCAGGGAAAGGAAATACCCAAAAGAAGGTAATGTTCACATTATCAAACAATATCAGGCAGTTGATTTGATACTGATTGCTCTGTTATTAACGTAGTTCTCTTCAGGCCTTAAAAATGTTAACACAGCTGTGCAGCATACAACATAAAATAACAGTGAAGAAACTGAGCACGCCTGTGCACCACATTTGACAGACTTTACTTCAGTAAACCTAATACTCCCATCCTCTCTTACTATCTGTACATGTTGGCTTGCTATGCCTGCTTTTAAAGTAAGTTACAATGTCCTACTTATGGAATAAAAAAAAAGTCATACAGAGCTACATTGTTGCAGACACATATCCTGGCACCACTGGTGACTTTGACTAATTTCAGAACTTGAAAATAAACTGATTACAAATCTAACCTGGCTGACTGGAGATGTGGTGCTGTAATCAAACACACACACGCACACACGTTGCAGTGAGGTTATGTGTGGAGACTTCCTTTTGTGCTTGTGTCCATTACTGTAATGTACATGTACGCTATGGTTGTATCTGCATGCATCTGTGATATGTCTGTGCAGGTGAATCTAAGCATTAAGACTGTACTCCTGCTTGTAGCAGCAGGGCCGGCAGACAGCGTTGACTAGGCCATTTCCCAGCTGTAGGAGACAGATGATGAACTCCAGCACTGCCAGGCCCAGTAAGACACACAGCAGAGTGATGTTCCACTCTATGATGTTAACCGGCTGAAGGCACCGTGTCCACGTTTCTGGCTGCAGAAGATACCTGGGACAGAGAGTAAGTGTGATTATCAAAGAGCAAGTCACAAACTGGTGAAGGCATAACTGATCCAGAAAATTAGAGCAAG